AGGGTTGCGATCCGTTGCCGGACACGGAAAAAGACAAAAGACAAAGAAAAAAAAAAAAAAACTTTGTAGAGAAATTTAAAAACAACTACAATGAAAGAGGACAGTTAATCAAAGGAGGAAAGGGATTTGAAAAAGTACTGCTGAGGACTGTATGTCATCATCCTGTTCATCAAGAACCATAATTAAAGAACTTATTTTAACATTACCTTTTGCCTTATGCACTGTGGTTTTGGACACAGTCTTCTGATTAGAACACAAAGAATTTACTTTAAAAATACTATTTTGTTGGTTTAAAAACTCACCATAACAACTTAGAGCTCTCAATTGTTTTGTTTAAATGTTTGCACCATTTTCTGCAACTTTTAATGATTTCCTTTTATATGTGTAACTTTGGATCAGAGCAATTTCTTGGTATTACCTCAGTTACTTTGGTGTATTGCAAAGTAACCACACGTTCCTCCCATTCCTGTATGCAAGCACCTTTTCTATATGATTTTTCTTCTTTTCCCAATAAGGTTGGAGCTGACTTTTTCATTCCTTGAGTTTTGTCTCATGCATGAGACTTGCTTTGGCAAATGGCACATCAGCAAACGTAATGCCAGTGGAAATTTGAAGTTTGTCATCTTTGCTGCTAGGAACCTTCCACCATGACTAGCATACTGCAGGAGAAGAAACCTACTGTGGAGGGCTCCAGCCTTCCCACCTGTCCCAGGTGAGGCTCACCCATCCAAGGAAGGCCATTCTGGACAGCCCAGCCCTGGCCAACCTCACNCTCACTTTCTGTTCAATTTTACTATACATGGCTAACATAAAATTTTGAAGGAATACCATAGCAAGCAAGTGAGCCAACAAAAAAGTAAGCCATACCTTTACCTTTTCTTCTTTAGCTCAGAAACTTTAATCACGGAAAACTGATGTACTACTATCTCCGCTACAAAAACAGAAGACATAACTAATCTTCAATCACTGAAACCAAAATAAACCGAGTACCTGATGGTCTTTCCTGGGTCTGCCTCTATTATCCAAGTGCAATGGAGGTTGTTGTCATAAGGTGCTGGGTAGCCAGGGGACAATATTCTTCCTGACGTGGCAGCGTGAATCCGACCTCCACATTCCGCTGCAAAAGATACAGAGGGATAGGGAATTCTGCTCCAGGTCTCATGAATTTCTATTTAACTACTTTAAAAAACCAAAGCTGTCAAGTCTGCATTATAAACATAGACAAAAAAAATCACAATCATCATTTCTCTTTACTTCTTCCCAACCACTATCTTGATGGAAATACTTTACCCTCATGTAATTAAAGTTGAGAGTATAAAACAATGAAATGCTCATGTGGTCATTCTAATAGTAACTCGGTGCATATAGACTTTATAAAATAGCACTAGGAAATCTGTCCTTCATACTTGAAAACACACACACACACACACATCCCTCAGGAATACATCAAAACCCACACTGAAAAGAGCAGTAAAATTCCTCCTTTTTTTCCAAAAATAAAGTCAAAGCAACATGGAGTGAGTGATCTTAGTCCCCACTTTTTAGAGCAATCTGCACCGGCTTCCCAACTCACCTATGCAAGAGGGCAATGGTTTGTCCCACACTCTCCGGTCTCCGCTCAGACAAGTCAGGGTGTTGCTGCCGTGCATGGCGTACCCTGGGTTACAACTGTACAGAACGACGGTGTCAGTAAAGTGGCCTTCGTCGCGAATCCTATAGCCATAGTTAGGGATGCCTGGATCCTCACATTTTACTAGATCAAAACCTACAAGAGAGAAAGGGAAAGAATGACTAGAACCAAACTAGGTTGCCAAGTGTTCCTTGAAGTGTAGGAGGAAAAAGAAGATTGTGAATTTACAAAGAGAAAAAGAAATTTGTGTCTTTATTGGGTTTATGGTT